CACGGCAGCGCCATTTTGCCGTGGATCCGTGATCAGACAATAAGACAGGGAAGAGACAGAGAAGTCTCATAACACAGATCCCCAGTACCGCTTGCTGACTATGCCACAGACCCCAGGGGATTATTTGCAAACACTGTTCCCTAAATATAGTGATGGTGCAAATAACTTTAGCAACAACTGTGCGCAAATATAGGGTACAAAAGATCCCCTCAGTGATTGGTATATAGTACTAGTAACGGACCACGGCAAGATGAAGGATACCCCAGCATAGGTAACACAAAATAAAATCATAAAAGGACTTTAAATACACAAAAAATATAAGATATAAGATCTTGGCAGTGAATAACCTGTATAGTATTATACTGCCAGATCATATAAGATAGAGATACATATCCCAAATATACATTCAGAACAAAGAGAAAAAAAGAGGTAAAAAAGCTCCAAAATTAATACGTTAAAAACCATCATGATCCTTCCTCTACCCGACTCATATATTGGGAGATAAAAACGGGGCAGAAGGAAACTTATAAATAATGATTAGAGATGAGCGAATCGAACCAGGCGAACCGGAATTCGATATGAATTTCAGGAAAAATTCGATTCGCGGCGAATCCGAATATTTGCCTACTTCGGGGTGCGCGCGAATCGGAATTTTCCCGATCAGCCGGCAAAAGTGTCCCTGCAGAGAGCTCCGCTATTTCTGACAGTTCAGTTCTCTGACAGCTTCTTCACATGTACAGCGGTTGAAACATTGTATCTATTAGTTTCCATTTAGGATACAGATGTTTCAACCGCTGTACATGTGAAGAAGCTGTCAGAGAACTGTCAGAAATAGAGGAACTCTGCACATACACTTTTTGCCGGTTTGGAATTCTTATTTTCATCCTACTTCTTCTTCTTCTTCTACTTCTTCATCCTCATCCTCAGAAGAAGAAGAAGAGAGATGAGGAGGATGAAGAAGAAGAAGAAGAAGAAGAAGAAGTAGGATGAAAATAAGAATAATTCCAAGCCGGCAAAAAGTGTATCTGCAGAGCTCCTCTAAGTGTATCTGCAGAATGTCATTTATGGAAACAAATAGATACAATGTTTCAACCGCTGTATGGAGTGAATGTCCCAGAACTGTCAGAAATAGACAGAAACTGTCACAGAACTGTCCTTCTTCTCATCCTTCTCCTTCTTCTCATCCTTCTTCTCATCCTTCTTCTCATCCTTCTCCTTCTTCTCATCCTTCTTCTCATCCTTCTCCTTCTTCTCATCCTTCTCCTTCTTCTCATCCTTCTCCTTCTTCTCATCCTTCTCCTTCTCCTTCTTCTCATCCTTCTCCTTCTTCTCATCCTTCTTCTCATCCTTCTCCTTCTTCTCATCCTTCTTCTCATCCTTCTTCTCATCCTTCTTCTCATCCTTCTCCTTCTCTCTCATTCCTTCTCCTTCTCCTTCTTTCATCCTTCTCCTTCTTTTCATCCTTCTCCTTCTCCTTCTTCTCATCCTTCTCCTTCTCCTTCTTCTCATCCTTCTCCTTCTTCTCATCCTTCTCCCTTCTCCTTCTTCTCATCCTTCTCCTTCTCCTCCTTCTTCTCATCCTTCTCCTTCTTCTCATCCTTCTCCTTCTCCATCTTCTCATCCTTCTCCTTCTCCTTCTTCTCATCCTTCTCCTTCTCCTTCCTCATCTCCAAGGGCATTTAAATTAAAGGTACAGTGTTCTGCACTAATTTAAAGGCTCTCTGAAGCCTAGAAACCCTTTTTATAAGTTAACTTCGTAGCGAATTAATTCGTATCGAATCAAATTTCTTCCTGAAATTCGCCGAATCAGCCGAATCAGCCGAATCGAATTTTTTGAAAAATTCGCTCATCTCTAATAATGATCATAGGACCGGTGAGTAATATCCAATCAAGATAGATGGATATTCGAATAAAAAAATCAGAGAGTGTCATACACATGAAGAAAAGCACATTAAAATTGCAACCTTGTGCAGGATGTAAAAGTACTCATAAATACATAACAAAATAAAAATAAAAACGAACTCCATATACATAAAATGGCAATGGGAAGAGACATAGGCCTATCAACTGTTAGCAATGAAGCAGTTGACATCTACCTCAATGTTATGGCCTAAAGGGTGTAAAGTGCGAAGCTCAAACACCCATTTTGTTTCGGCTTGGGAAACCGCCCTAGTTTTATTGATACCCCTCCAGTGGTTGCCGATCATATCAATGCCAATGAACTTCAATGAAGATGGATCATTATTATGGTGAAGGCGGTAATGATTTGATAGTGAGTGCTCCCTCAACCCCTTCTTAATGTTTGAAACGTGCTCACGTAGTCGATCTCGTAAACGTCTTGTTGTCCTGCCAACATACTGTTTACGACAGGGACACTGTAGTAAGTACACTACGAACTTACTGTTACAAGAAATAAAGTGTTTTTGATATTATAAGTTCTACCGGTGATAGATGACTGGAATGTGTTAACTCTCCTTTTTCTTGTATTGTCGCACTTACAAATAATGCACCTATTACTAACAAATACAAACCGTACCGGAAATGTTGGATATCTCTCCTTCTGGACACGGGGAACACTCATAGCAGCATTTATGTATGGAAGAGCCAAACTTTTTTCTGCTGCCGGGTAAGCAGGGATCTGAGCATCGAGATATCAGAACCTGAAATCAGAAATTATTATTATTATCATTATTATTATCATCATTATTATTATTATTATTAAATGTAAATGTCTGTCATCCCTCAAGAGACTCTACAAACTAAGTGTTACAAATAAGAATGAGGTTCAGGTTTGCTTCTAATTTGGGTCAAATTCTGCAGATCTGAGATCCCCTTGGGGGGCAGTATTTTGGGGTTCTCATTCATCTGGGGCGTTCATCGATTGTTAGTCCTCATGTACACTGGGGGGGGGGGGGGACATTTTGATAATGCTGATAACGTTAGCTGTGTAAAGTTACGTTAAAAACCGCACTTTTTTTGCTTTTTTTTAGCATTTTTGTATTAGAGTTTAGCGGCGTTTTTCCGCATTTGCGTTTCTTACAAAAAAAAATGTTGGGGGTCAAAAACACCGGTTTGCGGTATTTTACTGCATTTTGGCACGTTTTTCAGTGTTACAGGGTTTTTATAGCTAAAAAACTCCTTTAGAAACCCACTAGCCCTGTTTTTTTTCCAGCCAAAAAACGTTGATTCCAGTCTGTGTGTATGGACACATAGGATAACATGCTGGGGGGGTTTACTGGTTGCAGAGAAAAACTTCAAAAGACAAAAACAGCCGCTGTAAAAACGCCCCGTATGCAGGAGGACCTATGGCATGCTGATGGGACCTCTATTTTAGGTTAAACTGCTTATTTAGTGCAAAGCTTCCCTTTAACCCCTTGACTCCGATGTCACACCAATCTGTGTCCTCACAGAACTGGGCTTTTTTCCGTGGGACCGCATATTTGTGTACCTGTCTTTCTGCTGGGAGCGCGCAGTATGGCGCACTCCGAGTCACAAAGACCTCGGTGTCACCGTGAGCCCCGGGTCCCATTCTAGCAATCGGGACCCGGGACTCCAGATTCCGGGTCACATGTTCACTGTTATAGCTTCTGATTGGCTATCACAGTGATCAGTCACTGTACAGCCCGGCCCCCTTGTTTTTTTCTTTCTCTATGAAAGGTGGAGAGAGATACATTGTATCATTATATACATTCCATTATACATTGTATCATTATATACATCCTATTATACATTGTATCATTATATACATTCCGTTATACATTGTATCATTATATACATTCCATTATACATTGTATCATTATATACCGTCCATTATACATTGTATCATTATATACATCCTATTATACATCGTATCATTATATACATCCTATTATACATTGTATCATTATATACATCCTATTATACATTGTATCATTATCCTATTATACATTGCATTATATGCATTTTTTTATACATTGTATCATTATATACATCCCATTATACATTGTATCATTATATACATCCTTTTATGCATTGTATCATTATATACATTCCATTATACATTGTATCATTATATACATTCCATTATACATTGTATCATTATATACATCCTATTATACATTGTATCATTATATACATCCTTTTATGCATTGTATCATTATATACATTTCGTTATACATCGTATCATTATATACATTCCATTATACATTGTATCATTATATACATCATATTATACATTGTATCATTATATACATCATATTATACATTGTATCATTATATACATTCTATTATACATCGTATCATTGTATGCATCCTATTATACATTGTATCATTATATACATCCTATTATACATTGTATCATTTTATACATCCTATTATACATTGTATCATTATATACATTATATTATACATTGTATCATTATATACCTGGTGCTGTCCATTTTGTCATAGGGTGCTGGCAGATTACGGGCTCCCATTGCTGCTGCCAGGCCCGTAATCTGCCATGGGCCCCTGTACCGCCTCCTCATGCTGCTGCCAGGTCCAGAGTGTCTCATGGGTCCCTGTACGGCCTCCCATTGCTGCTGTCTCCATCGCCACACTCTGCCATGTGCCACTTTCAGGTCTCCTCACACTGCTGGTGCTGTCCATTTTTTCATAGGGTGCTGGCAGATTACGGGCCTCCCATTGCTGCTGCCAGGCCCGTAATCTGCCATGGGCCCCTGTACCGCCTCCTCATGCTGCTGCCAGGTCCAGAGTGTCTCATGGGTCCCTGTACGGCCTCCCATTGCTGCTGTCTCCATCGCCACACTCTGCCATGTGCCACTTTCAGGTCTCCTCACACTGCTGGTGGGTTCCATTTTGTCATAGGGTGCTGGCAGATTACGGGCCTCCCATTGCTGCTGCCAGGCCTGTAATCTGCCATGGGCCCCTGTACCGCCTCCTCATGCTGCTGCCAGGTCCAGAGTGTCTCATGGTCCCTGTACGGCCTCCCATTGCTGCTGTCTCCATCGCCACACTCTGCCATGTGCCACTTTCAGGTCTCCTCACACTGCTGGTGGGTTCCATTTTGTCATAGGGTGCTGGCAGATTACGGGCCTCCCATTGCTGCTGCCAGGCCCGTAATCTGCCATGGGCCCCTGTACCGCCTCCTCATGCTGCTGCCAGGTCCAGAGTGTCTCATGGGTCCCTGTACGGCCTCCCATTGCTGCTGTCTCCATCGCCACACTCTGCCATGTGCCACACTTTCAGGTCTCCTCACACTGCTGGTGGGTTCCATTTTGTCATAGGGTGCTGGCAGATTACGGGCCTCCCATTGCTGCTGCGCCAGGCCGTAATCTGCCATGGGCCCCTGTACCGCCTCCTCATGCTGCTGCTGCCAGTCCAGAGTGTGTCATGGGTCCCTGTACGGCCTCCCATTGCTGCTGTCTCCATCGCCACACTCTGCCATGTGCCACTTTCAGGTCTCCTCACACTGCTGGTGGGTTCCATTTTGTCATAGGGTGCTGGCAGATTACGGGCCTCCCATTGCTGCTGCCAGGCCCGTAATCAGCCATGGGCCCCCGTACCGCCTCCTCATGCTGCTGCCAGGTCCAGAGTGTCTCATGGGTCCCTGTACGGCCTCCCATTGCTGCTGTCTCCATCGCCACACTCTGCCATGTGCCACTTTCAGGTCTCCTCACACTGCTGGTGGGTTCCATTTTGTCATAGGGTGCTGGCAGATTACGGGCCTCCCATTGCTGCTGCCAGGCCCGTAATCTGCCATGGGCCCCCGTACCGACTCCTCATGCTGCTGCCAGGCCCGTAATCTGTCATGGGCCCCTGTACCGCCTCCTCATGCTGCTGCCAGGTCCAGAGTGTGTCATGGGTCCCTGTACGGCCTCCCATTGCTGCTGTCTCCATCGCCACACTCTGCCATGTGCCACTTTCAGGTCTCCTCACACTGCTGGTGGGTTCCATTTTTTCATAGGGTGCTGGCAGATTACGGGCCTCCCATTGCTGCTGCCAGGCCCGTAATCTGCCATGGGCCCCCGTACCGACTCCTCATGCTGTGACGTTGCAACAAGGTGGAATTCAACCCTACATATGTTAGACCGCCTTTACGAACAGCGAAAGGCCATCACCGATTTCCTGATGTTACAAGCGGATAAAGGTACTCCCCTGTGTAACTTAGATGTCAGCCATTGGCAGCTCATGCGTGACACCTGCCGCTTGCTCAGGCCCTTTGAGGAGGCCACGCTATTCGTGAGTCGGCAGGACTATGGGATGAACGACGTCATTCCTCTGTTGCACATCCTGGAACAAATGCTGTTAACAATGGCTGGTCAGGGTGCGGTAGACGTGGCGCACAGATCTCAACGCCACATGACCCCTGTGGGGGCAGGACAGGAAGAAGAGGAGGAGGTAGAGGAGGACATTTGTGCTCAGGAATTATTGAGTGAAATGGGTGGTTTTTCCACTCAGCGGACAGGAGTGGAGGAGCAGGAGCATCTGGTAGAGGAGGAGGAGGAGGAGACAGAGGACCCAGACGCACCGTGGCAGTATGCTGTGGAGATGGAGGCAGGGAGTCCCTCGCATTCCTTGGCACAAATGGCCCATAGCATGCTCGGTTGCTTGCGTAGCGACAGCCGAATAATAACCATCAGACAGAGGGATGACTTTTGGCTGTCCACCTTGTTGGACCCTCGCTACCGTTCAAAAATGGTGGCCTTTTTCACACCTGCAGAGAGGGAGGCCAAAATAACGTACTATAAAAACCACCTATATAGTCAGCTGGTCTCTGCCTTTCTGCGCCAACGTCCATCCTCAGACACTGTGGGCCCTGTGCGCTCGCGTTCCGCTGCCATGGCAGCAGGGGAGGGGTGGGGTGGTAGGAGCAGTGGCAGCTCCACCAGCAGCGGCTGCCTCAGTCTGCAGTCGATGATGAGTAGCTTTCTTCACCAGCGCAGTGAGGAAACTACTAACCAGCCGCAGCAGCAGCAGCAGCAGCATCAGGTGGACCTGGAGCAGGACCTCAAACAACAGGCTTGGGCCTACTTGGACAGCACCCTGCCAACCGAGGTAGACAATCCCCTTGACTACTGGGCAACGAAACTTGACCTTTGGCCCCAACTAGCTGAATTTGCCCTTGAAAGGCTTTCATGCCCGGCCAGTAGCGTGGCATCGGAGCGCGTGTTTAGTGCGGCAGGAGGTATTGTGACTCCGCGGAGGACACGACTGTCCACCCAAAGTGTGGAGAGACTCACGTTTGTGAAAATGAATCAGGCGTGGATTAGTCTGGATTTCAAACCACCAGTTCCTGACACAACTGACTAAATCCACCATGAATCATGCCCCAAACATGTGCCACTTTCAGGTCTCCTCACACTGCTGGTGGGTTCCATTTTGTCATAGGGTGCTGGCAGATTACGGGCCTCCCATTGCTGCTGCCAGGCCCGTAATCTGCCATGGGCCCCTGTACCGCCTCCTCATGCTGCTGCCAGGTCCAGAGTGTGTCATGGGTCCCTGTACGGCCTCCCATTGCTGCTGTCTCCATCGCCACACTCTGCCATGTGCCACTTTCAGGTCTCCTCACACTGCTGGTGGGTTCCATTTTGTCATAGGGTGCTGGCAGATTACGGGCCTCCCATTGCTGCTGCCAGGCCCGTAATCTGCCATGGGCCCCCGTACCGCCTCCTCATGCTGCTGCCAGGTCCAGAGTGTCTCATGGGTCCCTGTACGGCCTCCCATTGCTGCTGTCTCCATCGCCACACTCTGCCTGCCATGTGCCACTTTCAGGTCTCCTCACACTGCTGGTGGGTTCCATTTTGTCATAGGGTGCTGGCAGATTACGGGCCTCCCATTGCTGCTGCCAGGCCCGTAATCTGCCATGGGCCCCCGTACCACTCCTCATGCTGCTGCCAGGCCCGTAATCTGTCATGGGCCCCTGTACCGCCTCCTCATGCTGCTGCCAGGTCCAGAGTGTGTCATGGGTCCCTGTACAGCCTCCCATTGCTGCTGTCTCCATCGCCACACTCTGCCATGTGCCACTTTCAGGTCTCCTCACACTGCTGGTGGGTTCCATTTTGTCATAGGGTGCTGTATGGCCTCCCATTGCTGCTGCCTCCACCGCCACACTGTGGCTCCACACTCTGGTTTTGGCCCCGTGACTGCCCAAATGAGTGAAGTGTGCGGTGATTCTAAGATCGACGGCACTCATCTGCATGTCATACTGACTGACAGTATTATTTCTCTTCCCCAGCAGACTCCAAGGGCATTTAAATTAAAGGTACAGTGTTCTGCACTAATATAAAGGCTCTCTGAAGCCTAGAAACACCCTTTTATAAGTTAAATTCGCAGCGAATATATTCGCCTCGAATCGAATTTATTCCTCGAATTCGCCGAATCAGCCGAATCGAATTTTTGAATACTTCGCTCATCTCTAGCCAGGAGGGATTAGGAACAAGGAATTAATACCTGGGGATTAATAACTGGGCTGTCAGAGAACTCATATCGTGACACTCCGGATCAGTAAGCAGGAATTGATAATTGGCCGGGCTCCTATACCGTGATAATACGTGTTTGTTGGTATATCTTAAAACAAGGATACAAATTCCTAGAAATCCTAATTATGAACCTCCTCAGCAAATGATATGAACAGAAAACATTGAAGTCATTTCTTACATTGCCATGTTTCCAGAAGATGTTACTCATATCAAACGTTTTGGGTACAAAATCCGGGCCTTGAAAAACGGAAATTTTGCTTTGAGGAAAAGATATATTGCTTAAATAAAGGCCGCTCTGTAAAATAAGATCGGTTGGGATTTCTCTTCTCTCATTGAAGTAGATCTCACCTCCGTCTGGGTCGGTGTAATGTACATTTCTCACATATTTGTGCAGCTTTTCATGGAAGACAGAAATACTCACATTACTATATACAGGTATAAAGGTTCTGAAATTAAAGTCTGATTAAAAAATACAAAGTGGTTAGATCCAAGATATTAAGTGTTCCTGCATGGCGACCACTTCCTGTTATCTCACATATATATATTCGTATTATTATAGCCAAATTTACTCCTCTAACTCCTCCCACATTTACCACCCTAACTCCTCCCACAGTGTTTACACTACATAGACAGTAATATACCGAAAACGTGCGGATTGTTCCCGATTGGTGTGCTATCACTTTGTGAAACGTTACGCTGAATGGTTCACAAAATATTGCCATTTTTGTGGTGAAATTGGTCCCATAGGAATGAATGGCGGAATGTTCAAAACTAGAGTGTGAGCTGAAAAATCAGGACATGATTTCTAAACTGCCATCACTCCCTCATCTTCCCGCCCAGCTACACAAATCTTATATCAAACGTTCAGCTATCAACGCTGCCACTAAAAATGTCCACAGCTAAGCCATAGTCCTGATAGTTTTCACAATATGACTATTTGTTTGCAACTCACGCCGCCCCTTGACATTCATTGAAACTCCACTCTAGACACCTCAAATTTGAAGGGCAATTTCTAAACTGCAACTGTGCCTTCATTTTTAATATTTCAGAGACATACTATGCTATGCATCAAAATGTAGGTCTGGGTCTTGTGATTTTCACAATATAAAGCTCTTCAGTGTAGGATTTATAATTTTTAAACTACAACCGTTTGAAGATGGCAACTGCCAGTGAAGTGAGCAAGTTGGAGCAGTTTGTTTTTAACCGCTCTTCTCTGCCCTTGCTGTAGAGTGAGGTGCCATAGGAACCCAGGTGTGTGAGCAGCCAGCAGAGTGACAAAAGCTAGAGTGTGAGTTGTAGACTACTGGTGGAGGCAAGAACACTTCACACAATTTCCCCAGAAATTGGAGCTTTTCCAGTTATTATTATAATTATTATTATTATTATACAGGATTTATGGCGCCAACAGTTTGCTCAGCACTGTACAATATAACGGGAGACAATACAGCAACAATACAGTTCAATACAAGAGGGATAGGAGGGCCCTGATCCTGGGAGCTTACAATCTAGGAGGGACGGGCTGATCCTGGGAGCTTACAATCTAGGAGGGAGGGGCTGGTGGTACAAAAGGTAGTAACTGTGGGGGAAGGGGCTGGTAGGAGGAATAGAAGATTCCATTACTAGCTGAGGGCAGGATAGGCTTCCCTGAAGAGATAGGTTTTCAGAGATCGCCTAAAAGTGAGCAGAGTAGGTGATAGTCTGATAAATTGGGGTAGAGAGTTCCAGAGGATGGGGGAAGCTCTGGAGAAGTACTGGAGACGAGCATGGGAGGAGGAGACAAGGGAGCTAGAGAGCAGGAGGTCATGGGAGGAGCGGAGAGGATGGTTTGGGTGATATTTGGAGACAAGATTGGTGATGTAATTTGGGGGCGGAGTTATAAATGGCTTTATATGTTATTGTTAATGTTTTGAATTTTATCCATTGGGCAATGGGAAGCCAGTGGAGGGATTGGCAGAGAGGGGTGGAGGACATTGAGTAGAGGCCAGTGGAGGGATTGGCAGAGGGGGGTGGAGGACACTGAGTGGAGGCCAGTGGAGGGATTGGCAGAGAGAGGGATTGAGGACACTGAATGGAGGCCAGTGAAGGGATTGGCTTAGTGGGGTGGAGGACACTGAATGGAGGCCAGTGGAGGGATTGGCAGATAGGGGTGGAGGACACTGAATGGAGGCCAGTGGAGGGAATGGCAGATAGGGGTGGAGGACACTGAATGGAGGCCAGTAGAGGGAATGGCAGAGAGGGGTAAGGACACTGAATGGAGGCCAGTGGAGGGATTGGCAGAGAGGGGTGGAGGACACTGAATGGAGGTCAGTGGAGGGATTGGCAGAGAGGGGTGGAGGACACTGAATGGAGGCCAGTGGAGGGATTGGCAGAGAAGGGTGGAGGACACTGAATGGAGGGCAGTGGAGGGATTGGCAGAGAGGGGTGGAGGACACTGAATGGAGGCCAGTGGAGGGATTGGCAGAGAAGGGTGGAGGACACTGAATGGAGGCCAGTAGAGGGATTGGCAGAGAGGGGTGAAGGACACTGAATGGAGGTCAGTGGAGGGATTGGCAGAGAGGGTGGAGGACACTGAGTGGAGGCCAGTGGAGGGATTGGCAGAGAATGGTGGAGGACACTGAATGGAGGTCAGTAGAGGGATTTGCAGAGAGGGGTGGAGAACACTGAATGGAGGTCAGTGGAGGGATTGGCAGAGAAGGGTGGAGGACACTGAATGGAGGCCAGTGGAGGGATTGGCAGAGAGGGGTGGAGGACACTGAATGGAGAATAGTGGAGGGATTGGCAGAGAGGGGTGGAGGACACTGAATGGAGGCCAGTGGAAGGATTGGCAGAGGTCCTCCACCCCTCTCTGCCAATCCCTCCACTGTCTTCCACTGACCCAACAAATAAAATTCAAAATATTAACAACAACTTACAAAGCCATCCACAACTCTGCCCTCGGCCACATCACCAACCTGGTCTCAAAATATCAACCAAACCGCTCTCTTCCATCCTCCTAAGACCTTCTGCTCTCTAGTTCCTATGTCACCTCCTCCCACGCTCTCCTCCAGGACTTCTCCCGAACTTCTCCCATGCTATGGAACTCCCTACCCCAATCTGTCTGGCTGTCCCCTAATCTATCCACCTTTAGACGATCCCTGAAAACCTCTTTAACCACTTCCTGTCCAGACCAATTTTCAGCTTTCAGCGCTATCACACTTTGAATGACAATTGCGCGGTCATGCAACACTGTACCCATATGAATTTTTTTAGCATTTTTTTGAGACAGATAAAACTTTATTTTGGTGGTATTTATTCACCGCTGGGATTTTTATTTTTTTGCTATATAAATGAAAAAGTGTTTTTCTTATAAAAATTTTCAAATAAATAATCTTTCTTCATAAATCTTGGCCAAACTGTATTCATCTATCTTTTAGTAAAAAAGAATAAAAAAATTAGTTTATAATCAAAAAGTATAATTTTTCAAAACATTTTTTTTAATTTTTACTTTTTTTTATATTATTATTTGTTTTTTGTTTTTTTAACATACTGTCACCCTGGCAGTACAGTGTCACCATTCCTGCAGCCATTGAGAAATACTGTGAGACCTGTGATTGGTCACAGCTTGTCGCATGGTACAAGGCTGTTGTGAATGGTCCTGTACCGTGTGACCTCTGTGATCATTCACAGATTTCACACATAGTAAGCAATGATGTCAGAAAGTGACATATTGCTTACCACTCTGCATGTGATCACTGATTGGCCAATCAGTGATCACATAATTGGGACCTCACACAGAGGTCCTGTACAATAGTTGGTGTTCCACTGTGTCTGGAGGAAACAGCGGGCAACAGATCGCAGTGCTGCGCGCTCCCAGGGAACGCGCACAGGCAGTGAATGAGGAGGCCATTTATAATTGGCCACTCGCCCCTGCACTGCCACCATCTGGCCGTTTATGTACATGGGCCGGACAGGAAGGGGTTAAAGAAGAAATATTGATTTACAGACACAATCAAACCATCAAAGACTTCACTGTATATGTGTTCATTCCCAGGAAATTCAGGCCGTCTTGGATACCACACGCGGTCCAACACCGTATTAGGTGACGATTTTGTTCTTTTTCCATACATGTTTCCAAATTTTGTGCAACCCATATATATACACCATATTTTTTGCTCCATAAGATGCACTTTTTTCCCCCAAAAAAATGGGGGAAATGTCTGTGCGTCTTATGGAGCTAATATGGAGCGTCCGGCCCGTATTCCCCCCTCACAGCCGTGTTAGAATACCGGGCCGATCGCTCGGCTCTTCTGTGCAGCAGATCCTGCTCCTCGGTCCAGCTGTGTCCTCATCACCTCATCATCTTCAGTGTGGGCACCCGGCTGTTACAGCTTGCGGCTTCACTGCTGGGAGCCCACTGCGCATGCATGAGAAACGCTGCACTTTGTGAATGGCTCCGTAGTCTTCTGGGACCTGTCACGTGTCCTAGAAAACTACAGGGAGAGAGGTGATCACAGCCTCCTGTACTGTATCCGCAGTCCCTGGTCATCTCCTGTACTGTATCCGCAGTCCCTGGTCATCTCCTGTACTGTATCCGCAGTCTCTGGTCATCCCCTGTACCGTGTCCACAGTCTCTGGTCATCTCCTGTACCGTGTCCGCAGTCTCTGGTCATCTCCTGTACTGTATCCGCAGTCCCTGGTCATCTCCTGTACTGTATCCGCAGTCTCTGGTCATCCCCTGTACTATGTCCGCAGTCTCTGGTCATCTCCTGTACTGTGTCCGCAGTCTCTGGTCATCCCCTGTACCGTGTCCGCAGTCTCTGGTCATCTCTTGTACTGTGTCTGCAGTCTCTGGTCATTCCCTGTACCGTGTCCGCAGTCTATGGTCATCCCCTGTACCGTGTCCGCAGTCTCTGGTCATCTCCTGTACCGTGTCCGCAGTCTCCGGTCGTCTCCTGTACCGTGCCCGCAGTCTCCGGTCGTCTCCTGTACCGTGTCCGCAGTCTCCGGTCGTCTCCTGTACTCTGTCTGCAGTCTCTGGTCGTCTCTTGTACTGTGTCTGCAGTCTCTGATCGTCTCCTGTACTGTGTCTGCAGTCTCTGACCGTCTCCTGTACTATGTCCGCAGTCTCTGGTCACCTCTTGTACTGTGTCTGCAGTCTCTGGTCATCTCCTGTACTATGTCTGCAGTCTCTGACCGTCTCCTGTACTATGTCCGCAGTCTCTGGTCATCTCCTGTACCGTGTCTGCAGTCTCTGGTCATCTCCTGTACCGTGTCTGCAGTCTCTGACCGTCTCCTGTACTGTGTCTGCAGTCTCTGACCGTCTCCTGTACTGTGTCCGCAGTCTCTGGTCATCTCCTGTACCGTGTCTGCAGTCTCTGGGTCATCTCCTGTACTGTGTCCGCAGTCTCCGGTCATCTCCTGTACTATGTCCGCAGTCTCTGGTCATCCCTGTATTATGTCCGCAGTCTCTGTTCATCTCCTGTACACGTCCGCAGTCTCTGGTCATCCCTGTACTGTGTCCGCAGTCTCTGGTCATCTCCTGTACTATGTCCGCAGTCTCTGGTCATCCCTGTACTGTGTCCGCAGTCTCTGGTCATCTCCTGTACTGTGTCCGCAGTCTCTGGTCATCTCTGTACTGTGTCCGCAGTCTCTGGTCATCTCTTGTACTAAGAGAGACAGAATTTAAAAAAAAAATTCAGGAAATCCCATTGTATGATTTGTAAAGAATGTATTTGTCTTGCACGGCTGAACAGAAGTATTTGAACACCTGAGAAACAGCAAGAATTATGGCTCTCAAAGACCTGTTACTGCACCTTTAAAAAGTCCACCTCTACTCCACTCATTCATCTAACTTAGTAGCACCTGTCTGAGCTCTTTAAAGACACTTGTCCACCCCCACAGTCAGTCAGACACCAACTACTACCATGGGCAAGACCAAAGAGCTGTCAAAAGACACCAGAGACAAAATTGTGGACCTCCACAAGGCTGGAAAGGGCTACGGGGCAATTGCCAAGCAGCTTGGTGAAAATAGATCAACTGTTGGAGCAATTGTTAGAAAATGGAAGAGGATAAAGACGACTGTCAGTCTCCCTCGGACTGGGGCTCCATGCAAGATGTCACCTCGTGGGGTATCACTGATGATAAGAAAGGTGAGGAATCAGCCCAGAACTACAAAGGAGGAGCTGGTCAATGACATGAAGAGAGCTGGGACCACAGTTTCAAAGGTCACTGTCGGTAGAACACTACGCCATCATGGTTTCAAATCATGCATTGCATGGAAGGTTCCCCTGCTCCAGTCATCACATGTCCAGGCCCGTCTGAAGGTTGCCAATGACCATCTGGATGATCCAGAGGAGGCATGGGAGAAAGTCATGTGGTCAGATGAGACCAAAGTAGAACTTTTTGCTCTAAACTTCACTTGTCGTGTTTAAAGGAAAAAGAAGGATGAGTTGCATCCTAAGAACACCATCCCTACTGTGAAGCATGGGGGGGGGTAACATCATGCTTTGGGGGTGCTTTTCTGTGAAGGGGACAGGATGACTGCACTGTATTAAGGAGAGGATGAATGGGGCCATTTATTGTGAGATTTTGAGCAACAACCTCCTTCCCTCAGTCAGAGCATTGAAGATGGGTCGTGGCTGGGTCTTCCAACATGACAACGACCCAAAGCACACAGCCAGGAGAACCAAGGAGTGGCTCCGTAAGAAGCCTATCAAGGTTCTGGAGTGGCCTAGCCAGTCTCCGGACCTAAATCCAATAGAACAGCCCCGAAACCTGACAGATCTAGAGGAGATCTGTGTGGAGAGGAGTCGGCCAAAATCCCTGTTGCAGTGGAAACCTGGTCAAGGACTACAGGAAACGTCTGACCTCTGTAATTGCAGACAAAGTTTTCTGTACCAAATATTAACACGGATTATAACGGATCTTCTCAGGGGTTCAAATACTTCTGTTCAGCCGTGTGAGACAAATACATTCTTTACAAATCATACAATGTGAATTCCTGAATTTTTTTTAAATTCTGTCTCAGAGTGGGAATGCACCTACAATGTGAATGTCAGACCCCTCCATGATTTCTAATTTGGGAGAACTTGCAAAATCACAGGGTGTTTCAAATACTTCTGTTCCTCACTGTATATTTAAAAACTGTATAGGAGAAACAAACATTGTATTGCCGGCAATTTTGCGGACAGTGAGAGGGAGAGGTCGGAGATCGCGGTCCATCTCACTTTGGTCACACAATTATTATGTAATCTATGATAGGATCGTAGTAACAGCAGAGGTGTACTTAGGTGTTGTACTTCCCTAGGTGACACAAAAATTGGACACCCCCCCTCCCGGGCGGGCGCAGAGATCCTGCCACTAACCAACACAAGACACCCCCCCCCCCGCGAAGAGAGCCTGACAGTGACTAACCACACCCCTGCCCCATCCCCAGAAAAAGACACTCACCTTCACAGCTCTGGACATCCCCCCCACGGAGGGAGCCTGATGGTGACCAACAACACCCCTGCTCCACCCACACCCACGAGAGCCTTCCACTAACACCCTCCCAGACTGAAAAAAAGACACTCACCTTCACAGGTCGGGACATCCCCCCCATGGAGAGAGCCTGAAGGTGACCAACAACACCCCTGCTCCACCAACACCCGAGAGAGCCTTCCACTAACACCCCCCCAACAGAAAAAAAAGACACTCACCTTCACAGGTCTGGCTATCCCCAGGAATGACAGTGGGAATCTGCATACACCATCAAGCAGCCCACAGCCTCTTTCAGATCCCACCTGGTCCCCATGTCCCTCCAATGAGGGCCAGTGCTGCCCCCCCCCCTAAAAAATGCCGCCCTAGGCAAATGCCTTGTTTGCCTTGTGGTAAATAAATACGCCCCCGAGTAACATAAGCACTTATTATCCAACTCACTCTGTGCTGGAATCCAGTTTGTTCAGATTGTATTTTCTTTGTGTACATTCCATGTAGAGCGTGGGCCAGAACATACATAGCCCTGTATGCATAGGAAGGTATAGATGTATAATTAAAAAATACTTCAGAAATATCATTTACATCTGTACAATGTCTGAGAGAGAGCTCATGATAAAATTGAAAATACTTATTTTTGTCCAGATTTGGGGAATGGCACCGAAGCAAAGAAATCCAAATATCTTCCAGTATTGGGTCAGTTAAGCAGCTGGAGAAGCTGACACCGACACCACGATGATTGAAGTTCAGGCTTTTCATTTGTGGCCACTGAAATATGAAGCTGTCATTGCCTTGTGTCAAATGACCATAGTCGATATCTAAGAGTTTACTCCACGACGGCGGGAAAATAAATGTGATATTTTCTATAGCAGAGGGTATAATAGAAGTAATAAAATAATAGTAACACTGATAAAGTTCCACACAATACTACGACTTTAGCTGTTGATTCATTAATAACCTTTACTTTCCGATTCTTATCTTCATCATTTACAGAGTTTTGAAAGATATAATCTGTGCAGATCCCATGTTGGCTCATCATCCTGCTCAGTTCTTGGGCCTCCTCATCACTACCTCTGCCATCCAATGATGTTATTATTCCAACCCAGTTCCACCCAAAATGCTTCAAGAAATGTACAACAGCCGTATAATAGGCCCGACTGTCCGGTGTCATACGGAATAAAGTTGGATACATTCTTCCATCACTCCGGGAGGGGCGAGTGACTCGATAACTAAGCTGGATGATACGTTGGGAGATATTTTCATGGGATGGTATTATTATCATTCAAACAAAGAAAATATATAAATGACACACAAAGATCTCTATCATATTAGGATGGACTTTTGTCATTTTTCAGCCAGACTAACTATGTAACTATATTTATTTTTTCTGTTCTGATAAAAAGAAGTACTTGCCAGAATTTATATCCTAGAGATCTAAGTAGATGACGGCACACAATGCCTACTTACCTTCTACACCCTCACATTCAGCCTTAATTCACCTACAACAACTCCTCATTCTAAGGCTACATAGTTACATAGTTAGTCTGGCAGAAAAAAGACAAAAGTCCATCCAGTTCAACCATAGAAAAAAAAAAAAAAGTTTTAATCCTACACCCACAGTTGATCCGGAGGAAGTCGGAAAGAAAAAGTCTACCAGCTATACTACGTAGCATTGAAAATGATCAGTCCAGTTGACTGCCTGTCTCAATTCTTGAGGCCCTAAAATTCCAAGAAAGTACTAATACCTCCCCCCCCCAAATGACACTTTTTTGGAAAGCTGGAGAGAGAGCTGGAATGTTCTTAAAGGAGAAACTATTTTGTCCCCATATGTACATAGTTGCTAAAGAGTTTGTCCTCAAGTTCACAGTTCCCTTGGGCATCCCATACACCCCTCAACCCCTCCGAGTTCTAAACCCCTAAATAAAATTACAAAACCAAGATCAAAGAATGTTTTCTGACTCCAGTGTGCAGAGTGTGGAAGAAAATGCGTGTTGCCTGGCTGTGCAGAGCATTAGAGGGACCCAATATTGTTATTGCTCCTGCAAAGCAAAGTGTAAAAAAACAAAAAAAAAACTCCCCAGAGTAGTACAATGTTACAAACTGCATTTAAAAATGTAAAAAAAATAAAAAATAAAAAATACTGTATTGAGAATCTAAAAATTTTTTAAGGCTGTTTTGTTTTTAACAACTTGCCAACTGCCTGCCTACAATCTGCGGGCGAGTGGTGGGTCTGGGCAAAGCGATGTATCCTTACGTCACTTTCTATTTTGGGGTGTATCTGCGCCCCCACTGTCGTCCCCCGTCAGTCCAGGGAGACAAGAGAGAACACCGCACTGTGAGTAAAAGCGCTACAATTTACACACACATGGTAGATTAGCACATTAACCCTTTGATCCCCCCGTCACCCAGCCACTGACATTAGTACAGTGTCAGTATATAGAATTTTTCACTGATCACTGTATTCCTGCCACTAGTGACATC